GGGGGGGGGGTCAGCATCACGCCCTGGCCGGGCTTTACCCCCGAGAAAAGGATCCCGGTATCCAATGGATAGGAGGTTGGGTGAGCCCCAGAACTGGTCTGGACAGAGAGACTAGAGAAAAATCCTCTGTCCGTCAGGGATCGAACCTAGGTCATCCAGTCCATAGCCAGTCACTATACTGACTGAGCTACACCAGCCTATAAGGCAATGAAAACCCCACAAATCATGGAATGCATCTTAATGAAGCATATGAAGGAACTTTTTAGCCAACTGACACCCTGATAAATAAAATAAACGCCCTGTTATGTAAAAAATTATTGATTTGGGAATTAGAATGGAATGTTTTAATTCAATAAGCCATTTAATTAAACATGACACAGCCCAAAAAATAATGATAATTAACTAATGCATTAAAAACAAAACAGAAGCAAACCAACATTAAGCTGTTTAAAACGTTGACTTTGAGGTACAAAAATTCCCTTACCAAGAGACCTTGCATTCTTAAAGAATGCTTTTGGAAGCTCAGTGTACTCCAGTGTGAGGTACACCTCTTCTTGCTTTGAGTTCAGTGTCCTGTTTTGCTTCTGTGAATGTTGAAGTAAATGTACCTTACGGTGCCATATAGTAGCCAAGAGCGTAACATCCTTCTTAGCAGCCAAAATGTCATTCTTTTCTGACAAACAAGTGGAGAACATGTCAGTTTGGCCAGTTATATTAAGATAACATAACATTATCCTCACCTTCTACAATTCACCATCCCCTTTACATAATTCTGTATTACTTCAGGTATTTTTAGATCAATCAAATTACTGTGATGAATAATTTTTAACAGGCAGACTGAAAAAAAAAATTACATACTTCTTTAATTCTGAAGTATCACATACTACAATGGTCTTTATTTAGTTTATTCTTCTTTAATTATACTTTATCAACTACTCATTATATAGCATCAAATGGCAAAATTAAAACTGATGAACCAAGGACAGAAATAAATATGGCCTATTTATAATACATCATCCCTTATCCACACTATCCTTGTGAAGTACCTATACCTGAAGGGACTAAACAAAACATGAAAATTTCAAGGATAATTGGTATCTTGGCAAAGATTCTTACCCAGGACCTTCCAAATATAAAGTGTAACCACTTACCACTACAGTACTACAGTACAATATTTAGTGTTAATGTGCACAAACTTTTAATCATGCAACCCTTCTGGCCATAAAAACAGCAATGGAATCCAGTGGTTAAATTTATAGTTACAAAACACTAAATTATGCAAGCTACTTCATCTTGTGAACTCATAATAATACATCAAAAACTGTATGTCAGGCAGCATGATATAAGTATGGAACGAATAACTCCAGCGCGATGACATTTGCACTGGTCTGTTGTGAATGGCAACCCTGTTGTATTTCCCTCTAGCAAGTACCTGGAGTCTAAAAATAAACGCCTCCCCTCATAGTTACAATGGAGTGGCCTTGGACAAGGCCTTGACAGAGGCCCAAGTAGAAGAATTTCTAGCAGATGACTCTCTCAGTGAATACAGTTCTGATGAAGATGGTGTTTTATAAATTGATTACGCACAGTTGGTGACACCCGGAGATGACGTTATTAGCGATACAGATAGTGACAATGGTGGCGGCGAAATACAGGAACAAA